ATAGTAATTAGAATCACGAAAACTTCTGTAGCATTTTCATAATTAACGTTCTCTCCTTTCAATTTACGAATTTAAAAAAAATCATTCGTAATTGCCACGTAAAGAAAGGAAATTGTTTACAGATAAATTTATTTTAATATAATCGAATAGGTTAACAAGATTTTCTTAGATTATTCCGATTTAAAATAAATTAATTTTTTTTAATACAGATATTTATTTATTTATATTATTTGTTACAATGTGGAACATATGTACACGTAACGCATGTTTTTTTCAGTTCCTGCTAAATGAAAAAACAATTTTTTTAATTCACCAATTTTATCAGTAATTTCAAAAATATATCTTCATTCAAGAATATGCTTCACGCCTAAAGATCATCGTAAAGCAACTTATCATCACAGGTCAACGATCTTTCCACTTTTAGATTCTACTAATTTCTTTTTATATCGTTGGAATAACTTTTTCCAAATAAAATTTCATTCTTTTAAAAGAAAATTATTTTTCTTCAAATCCCAAAAATGAAAGTCACAAGTTTAAACTATTCTCTCTATAGGAGGTTAAGCATTTTCACTCGAGGAGGTCGGATCTCCCGCGGCCAAACTCAACTATAAAATAGTTCAAATTCGCTCTAAAAATGGACACCGCTGGATTTGAGCCACGATGTTGATTCGATCCTAATTAACACTTAACATTTATCTGAAACTATTTCGAATAATACGGTCAAATAGTTTATACAATAAAATGTAAACTTGTCTTGTTTATCGATAGCCGATTTGCTTGTAATTAGTCATGTATTCTTGAGCACTTCTCATCCTAGATCTCACTATTGATAAATATGATCACGGAGAAAGAAGTTTCCTCCGGGGGTTTCCATCTTGACGGAGATTTCCCAAATCGAATAAAGAAGAGCCCAACGCAACGGCACTTCTTGTATTCTAACTCGCCTGCGTTAATAAACAAAAAGCCAGCTTTTTAACATTATACAAAAAGTAGAATATTATAAACATTAATCATCTTCAACCTAGTGGAGAGGTGTACAATGTTACTTAAGTCTATATAAACTTTTATAGACTTTACTACGAATGAATATTTTCTTGACAAAGAAATATCCCTGATTATTTAAATGACCTTTATAAATTTTTAAATTAGTTTTAGAAACAATTCGAGACATACCATTTAAAACATGAAAAGAAATCAAACAGTTAATATTGTTTATAAAGCTATCTTCATACTTTAAAAGGGAAGACTACAGAACTGAATTAAATAGAACCTAAAATTAAACAATTTTAAATTTATATATTTAAAACACCACGATGACCTTTTTAAATAGCTCTATTTTTACTAACTTCTTATATAAATAGCATCAAATACCTATATAGGCTATATCAATAGTTTGTATAGAATGAATTATTATTGAAAACAACATATGCAAACACTAAGAACTATTTATTTTTAACTGTTGAGTAATTCTGTGACAAATTAATCAGGATATATGCCTTAGGAAGTATTGCATGAAGTTTAACTGATCATTAGTATTTAAATCACAAAAATTTTAATTTTTCAGCAAATCGTCATCGGATAAAAGTTAAGTAATCTTCATTACGATTTTATAACCAGGTTTAGTTGAAAATTCACACTACTAAATACATGACCAAACAATGTTAAAGGAAATACATTAACGGAAACCCTTTCTTTAATTCTGGGTTTTCTCCTAAGGCCAAAAATAATCGTATTTTGATGACTAAAACTTAGCAAAATACTTCACAACAAAATGTTTAATTTCTTTTTTTAATTTATCGTGTCATCTTTTCTTTTAACGCTTAATCTGTCCGATTACATTTAATTTTTAACTTTTACGAACAAGTAAAAAGAAAACCACGAGGTATAAAGAATATAAAAACTCAAATTTAAAAAAATTCATTTCAATAATAACTGATGGGTATGCAATAATAAACGCACTAAAAAGAATATTTTAACTATCTTTAATGCTAAAAATAAGTTAAAAATTGACGGAGAGTTGCGTAACTAGATTAGGATATTCTGAGTGACATACAGATTAGAATATTCTCGAGGAAATTTCTACGAATAAAATATAAAAAAATGCAGTTTTGTTGTGAATTGGTCCAATGGTAAAAAAATCGGTGGCATTTGGTTGCAAAGGACAACGCAACGCACCTGTCGCCTCGGGAGTGTGACAGCTGTCGGAGTGAAAGTAAAAATCGCCGCTCTAAAATTGAAATATGAAAACTTTTACTAGAAACCAAAGATAAATAGCTGCAATGCCGGCGACCGATCCGAACTCTCCAAATGCTTTGTACCGAAACTTAATTATAAAGTTTAAACTATTCACATAGAATATGGATCTAATGCACTATAATTCAACAGGTTGAGTGAGCGTAACACATAAATCAGTCAATCGAGAATCAGGCGAAATCGAACAATTTCAAGTGAAAAATTTTCCCCTTTATGAAATTGAAGTGGAAAATAAGTTGCAAAACAAATCAGAAGCTCATAATTTTGTTTTTCTTTTTATAGATTTAATGCTATTAGATGCAGTATAACAACAACAACAGAATATTGTCCTCAAAACAAAATCTTAAGTAAATACTAACTATTTAATGGAAAAAATAATACATATTTTAGTTTTAGCGACAATTCACAACCTTAATTAAAGTAAATACAGATTAATCCTCATTTTTTTAATATTAGATGAAGACGTATAAAGCGAAATGTTCAAAAAGCGCTTATTCTTCACACTTTTTCGTGATAAATTATTAAACTTATGTAAAAAACCAGGAAGCAAAAAACTAAGGAAGAGCACGACACAGTCTCTCCAATAAACGACACGATACTTACGACCAAGCCATTAAGACAAAACCACTCTCTACCTGCAAAACACCGTCACGACTCTAAGTGGCCTCCTAACAGGAGAGCCATAAACAGTTGAAAGCTGTCTTAACATTAGGAAATTAAACGCCAGACATCCAGATAAAAGGGCAACGTTTCGGTTGTTAAAGCGTTGATTCGTAACAAAGACGATTCCACTATATCAACGCTTATTGTAAACAGGATAATAAATCGTCCAATTTTTATCTTCCATTATGTTCTATCGATTCGATTACTAAACTTTAGTAATTTCATATTATACGCAAAATTATCAGAAACTATTCATATGAAATTACTACTCAATTTTGAATCCCAATGAATATGTTACGAATACGTACATATCGACGTACGGCCTGTCTAAATTATCAAATGTTTACGAATAATAAGATTCTGCTTGAAGTCCATTTTTATAAAATTAAGCGAAAGACGATTTTCTCTATTACTACGATTCCGAACGTCACAAAATTTATTATTAATCAACTACTACTCTGCGAACGCTCCGAGCTATAGAGTTTACGATAATTAGAGCCGTTGTTATATAAATTAACGGAGTGACTATTTACATCGTTTAAAGTCCGCATTGTTACCGCCGTTATCGTTGCCAGCAAGGTGTTCAATCCCGTAATAGTCTTAATAACTTTAAATGTCGCCTCATTGATTAATTTGCTGACCATTGAAGTTTCGATAAATAGATTTACGATTACGTCGAAATTAATTATACGAAAAAATATTATATGTATCGAAATGGGAAATACCCAATAAATGAACAAATTTCACTTTAAATAAGTTATCTTCGTCGCATACTCTAAATTTGAATTCCGCTGCACGTCTTTCGCGCGAAGAGAATAAATTGATTTATTTACTTTAAAAAATACTTTTTTTGTGTGACCATCGGAGCCGAATAGTCGTTCGAAACGCGCTTAAAAGTTTCAAAAATAGCCATCAGTTGCACTTAACCAGAAAGAAGGACGATCAATCACACGCTCAATTAAACTGCAATCGTACCGCAAAACAATCATGATGGCAAACCGGAGGTCCGTAGCTCAAACGAGGCGAGTTCCATCACTTTGTAAGCGTTACTGCGGTCATCGTCGCTAAGAAGTCCGAAATGTAATCGAACAATTAGGGTGGAAAGGTCATCACTCCCTCTATCTATTTTTGACGCTTTGGGTGTGTACAAACACGACACACTTCGGTAATAAACTACCAATCGGGAATTAAGAGAGGAGGGTCGCTCCGAGTAATTGGATGACCATTAAGTGGCAATGTTCCGCCTCCATTTCATCTCGGGACTTCAACCAACAGCTAATTATTTACATCCAACAGATGACGGATCATATTCTAATGAATGATCGCGCGGGTTAATTCTTTCTCGTTTTATGCAACTAATAATTCCATAATGCTTATGTAATACACTTTCCACGCTTTAATCCGAATTATTAATGTTCGTGGAAATGTCATTTTTGACGCGAATGAAAAAGCCAATTTTCAAAATTTTTTAAAATTTATTTAGATAGATAAAGAATTTGCTGTTAAAAAGTCGTGTTTAAACTCACAAATTCCTACGAATACATTTGGAATAGCACGTTTCTCTGTATTATAGATAATTAAAATTAGATTATTCAAAAATTATAAACCAATATTTCCATAGTTTTGTAGGATATTAAAAGTAATCTTTTCTAAAGTAATATTCTTTTCAAGTTTATAATAAACAAAAATTCAATTGATTAATTCGTCATAACGGAATTCTTTTAATTAAATCAATTATTCAAGAATATATCAATACATACTTTTATGCTATATTAGTATTAGTGTAACCAATTCGAAATAACGAACAATCTCTCTCCATTCTCTTACCTCTTTATATAAAAAAAAATTACTAGTACTATTAAATTTTTATAAAAGTAATAATGTTGTTTCGTTTATTTTTATATTACATTTCTAATGGCAAATATATATGCAATTATTAATTTAGTAAACTTATTTCTTAACGGTTTTGTTTTCATCAATTATGAAATGTATATATACGTTACAATTATAAAATAAATTATATCATTCAATATGTGGATATTTTGTTATCTTATAATGCAATTAAATATTAAACAAATTCTTACATAGTCGTGAAACGCTTTGGCTTCGCTCGAATGTTCACACGTATCTCTTCTCTCGGGTGCTGCACAGTATAAGTCCCAAAACACACTGTAATAGAAATAAACTTGTCATCAACAAATACATTAAGAATTAAGAAAATAAATTTAATAAATGAAATATTAATCTTAATAAAATAATGTTTCTCGAGATCTCGATTTTTAAACGTGAAAAATACTCCTGCATTTTTCTACACTCATTCTCCCACGGAAAAGAATATCACCCCAGTCGTCTTTTCATAAAAAAAAAAGCTATCCAAGAGGAAGAGAACATACCAGAATGAATCAGAATCAACGGAAGTTATAAATCTGTAATATGATGCTGTTTTCTCGCAGGAAACTTTTCTGATTTATCTACATGTATAATTAAATCCAATAAAGACCAAATGGTCCAAAATTAATTATTCGAATTTTAATTATTGATAATTACAATATAAAAAATTCCTTCGCGGAACGAATTAGAATATAATTCGATATATATGATTTTAATATTCGATAGAGATCAATCGTGTATCAACCAATTAAAACATATCAATCAGATATAGCAAGTACATTTTTCATTCTGTGATTTTAATTAGATTTATGACAGAAACGATACACCAAATATTGCACCTATAACATACTTTCCACCTTTTCTAAACAATAACAACCTACACAATAATGCCTGAAACAGTCATAAAAAAATCGATTTTTCAATCGATAAGTGTTTCCCCCTTTTTCCCGTTGTCTTTCTGGATAAAGATCCCTTATATCCTCAACTCACGGCAATTACCAGGTACCATTTTACCGGAGGTTGGGATGGGCCTTGGAGTAGTTCCAGAAATATTGGCCTTCGACTCGGTCCGAGATAAAACTCAAGCCATATCTAAGCGACTAGTTTCAATTCCAAAAACGATTATAATAGAAATACTTTAAACTAAATCAAAATAATTTCCAAGTAAATCTCTTAATACTTTATACTCAAATACTATTTCGATTAACATTATCTTTTTTTCTATTTTAATTCCGGTGTAGTTTCTAATGAAATGTGATTCGAAACATCAAAAGAGAAATTTCATGATAAATTTTAACAAGAATTTTTACATTTAAAACCCAAATATAAAGATCTTCGATACCATTGGAAAAGAACAAAAGACAAGTGAAAAGCTGTGACAGGTTGATAATGCTGTCTTAATGAAGTGTCAACAGAAGTCATCAAAACACGAGGAACAAATGCATGGAAGAACGCTAACTAAGAAAAGAAAGAAAAAAAATGCTAATAAAAAGTAAGATCTGCAATTCAAATTTCCTCCACTTGGGATAAACTTAAGGGGAGAATTTTATTAACGAACGCGCAGTTAATTTCAGACTCGAATTATGCTAATAACCGGTATAAAGACTAAGGAGATTCGACCTTGAGTGTACATCTAACCAACCATTTTAACCTTTGGCTATTTACAGAAAAAAAAGTATATAACAAAATGTCGAATGATTATTTAAGAAGTAGGAAATTCATACTCAAACAACTACTGTGTTTCAAATTCTGTTTAAATGGGTTTAATTACGCAATACGATCTTGCACAGTATGCAAATAAAGAAATACATCAATGAAGGATCATTAGTTCAAAATTTATAAGAGTAGAACAATAGCCGAGATATGAAAAGAATTAAGATCAAGTTTTGAAAACTGACCTCATCAAAAATTCATGAATATTTATGAATTAAATTCCAAAACAAAACAAAATTATCTGATTTCTTTCCAACCGAAGCCATTCGTCCCGAGGCGTAATAAATCACGACAATTTTCCGCCGATATAGCAAATGTTATGGCGACGAAAATTTTAATTTGCAGGAAATTTTTTTCCTTCTTTATTGTTTGTTTATCCAAACGAACATCCGGTTAATCAATGGGATGGTATATTTAGAAATAATCAAATTGTCCAATAGAGGGAAAATGTTTTTACTTCCATCTACAGCACAGGACAATTAAAACAGAAAAAGGAAACTGGGTGGTAAAAAGTAAATATTCCTGTTCCTAACTAGAGAGGAGGGAGAAGAAAGGCTCGCCTGCATATTAATAGGAATCCAAATGAAAGATCGGAGATGGAATTTCTTTTGTCGTTAGACTAACGAGCAAGTATTGAAATTACAGGATGCGGAAAGAAACAGGATTTAATGTGTATAACTCTGGATAAATTATTAAAAACCCAAAACCACCGACGTCGTACGAAGGTATCAACAGAGAACAGCTGTAAACAAGGGAGAAATGTTGACAATGGCTAAGGGGAACTGGCAGCTGGCAGGAAAAGTCATGAATGAAAGAGAAGTGCGCTACAGTACGGAGTTTTTAATGAGAATTTTTCTTAATAAGAATAAACTATTGAGAACACACCGGGAATGAACGAAACTATTTAGAATGACTTTTTGATGAACCTTTCCGCTCTCTTAGATTGAGGCATAATTAAATTAAAAAGCATAAAGGGCAGTCATACTAATCTGCGATTTAACCACGTTTCAATCGAAATCTATAATCACGGCATATTATAAAGTACGCAAAACTTTTAATCTGTACAACTTTCACTTAGAGTTGAAAATATGCTTTTGTAATAGCGTAACTTTTATACCTGGCTTGCAATCTGTACTATGATAATTGTACACTCTTCTTTCTACTCTACTTTCGACCATTAATTACTTATCTTACTAAAGCAAGCTAAGTTTACTTCAAAATACAGTAATCAACTCTTGTACACAGGATATAAATGGAAAGAACTTTAAACGTTAAAAATATTATGTGACACTACAGTTAAGAATGCCAGTCACATCTATAAACTATCCTTAATGTGTTTTACTAGCGAAAAAACAAAGATTAATCGGAATTATTATTTATAGATTTCATGACTGGTATTAATGCAAGAAGGTTTACATAATATTTTAGATTTACAACTTCATGTTTCTCAAGAAAAATGATTCCTTTAAAATCGGGAAAATGTTTAAAAATCCCAATTATAATGTCAGTTAATTTTTTAAATATATTTTTT